CTGACAAGTGAGATAAACCAGATACCATTTTCTGAAGTTTTGACAAACTGGGATGTCCCAACCGTTTATGTAATAAATCTGGTGAATCAGTAACAGGACAAGTTGTATAAGGAAGACAAGATGTGAGTCCATGTGATTTAGCAAAGATAAGGTAATAAAGTCCGTTTGATTCACGCCCGGTGCCAATGATCCGCCCCGTACTGTGTTCCTGTATAAAAACATGGTATTCAAGAAATAAAACAGCGCATTTAAGTGATTTGGCTAAGCGACTAACAGCTATGAGATTAAAAGGACTATTGGGAACATAAAGGACTGAATCTAAAGGTAAGGAAGGAAGTGGGCTTGCTTGACCTATTGCAGTTGCCATGGTTTGAGACCCATTGGCCATTGTGACTTTTGGAAGAGATTGAGAATACGAAATAGTAGTGAAAAGAGATTTGTTACCAGAAATATGATCTGATGCACCTGAATCAATGACCCAAGACTCAGAGGATGAAGATTGGGAGAAACAAGTCACGCTATTACCTGTTTGAACAACAAAAGCTATCTCAGAAGATGTCTGCTTACATGCTTTATACTGAAGGAACTCAATATACTCTGCTAAAGAAACCATCCAACTATTCAAAGCATCGGTTCCCATGTCGCTACAATTTGTAGTAGTAGGGTTAACTTGAAATAGTGGAAATAAGTAACTCATGTGAGAAAACCGAAGAAATAGCTTGAAAAACACCGTTTACAGCAGGAAAACAGAACATTGTTCTGTGCCGGAAACACTGCTCACGCCGGAAACACTGTAGCTCACCGGAAACACTGTAGCTCGCCGGAAAATTTTCAAAGTTGTCGGAATTTATTGTAACCAGGATGGATAGACTCGGAATTCCTTCGCGAGCAAGCTGTCTTGAAGAAATATTTTCAAAAAATGGCCAGAAAGGTCACTGTTCACGCCGGAAAAATATAAAAAGTGGCCGGAATTTGATTTGAATTAGATGGGTAGACTCGGAATTTTGAGGAGAGCACACTGTCCTGAAGAAGTTTCGCGAAGAAATGGCCGGGAAGTGGCCGGATCCCTCGCCGGAAAAGTTGTTGCCGGCGCGTGGAGAAGCGTGGCGGCTTTTCTGCCGGATAAAATTTCAGGGGTTGATAGTCGGAGGGTGATCTACCTCGTGGTGGTGTTGGTTTTAGCACAACATCGACAGAAAGTGACTTTCACTTAGACAAGCCTTAGGTCACCGAAAAAATTACACGATGACTAAGTTTTTCCTTCCCGGTTAACGCTGGAATGACGCACAGCGATCTTTTCTCACTAATGCTCTGATACCATATGAGAAGGCACGGGAGAAAATATGTTATTGATATTAGATGATAAATACAATACAAGAGTTCCCTATTTATAGCTATACACTACAAGGAAATATTACTCCTCTTCCAATGTGGGACAAGACTACACTATACATATCTATAAACTAACAAGAGTCACCATAACCAACAACAATAACAGGGGCAAGACAAAATAAAATAAAAGCAAGGACAAACTAAGTTTTTAAGGGAAAATCAAGACGACAATCTCTCTTCTTCCCACTAAAATTTGATTGGGAAGTCTCCTACTTCAGAGGTAAACAATAGATATATCCCTAGACTTCCAACCTCTTAGGTACTTAAGGGCATTACCCTTGTTTCAACTGATAGTCCTCCTGTAAGTTCCGCTCTGCAAATTCACTTAACCAAGGCACTATTACTTGGCAGTAAAAGAAATTTCTCCGAGTGCAACTGGAAAACAGTCTTGGAGAATATGTCACCTCTGGGGCACCAACTGAACACCATTTTCTACAAAAAGAAACTTTAATTTCCCTTTTATTGTCTTTACTCATAATCCCTTAAACTCCTAAAATTATTTTCTTTTCCCGGGACTGAAGTAACAAAGGAAGCAAGCTGAAACACCGTGAATGTTTTCACAGCAGAATTTGTAATAAAGTCTTCTTTTTAATTTTATTAATAATCATACCTCCTTTCTGTTACTAAATAAATAATGTTAGAATTGTTGCAATGTCCGATCTCTAGCATGAAGATACACCCAATCACAACTCACAAGTAAACCCGAACAGAACACTAGACATGAAGGTATACCCAATCAGTAATAAACTCCCAAAAAACGCAAAAAGGAAAAATCTTATATCAATACACCCTCCAATAACTATCCCTCATCTCCTTCAAGTTGATATTTTAGCAACGCATACCATATGGCAGCTGCAACTTCACACCAAAAGAAATTCAATGACAAACCAGTAATTAAAAGCTCATTGCACAAATACACTGTTCCCATAGGTTTCAAAACCACCAAAAATTATCAGCCTCTATGGATAGAGATAATTCATTAAGAAGAAAAGAATGAGCAATGAAAGAAAAACCTACCTATTCCCTCGAGTTCGGTTTGAGATATATAGTGATTACACATGGTATATTTTTTGGTAAAATACTGATTCTATGCAAGATTACATCCCTAATCTATGCATAATTATGAAATTCATAACAAATTAAATCAAACCTAAAAAATCAACATGGCTTGGGGTAGTAAGAAATCTTATATTACTTCTAGACAAAATCTTAGATAAACAGTTTGATTAAAGGGTTAATTTGAGATTACAGAAAAAAATCTGCATCCCATCTGCTGTAGGTCAGAAGGGTATGATGAATTATTTTAGGACAGTATGATAGACACAACTCTCCTGGAGAGTGCAGATCCCAAAAAATCATTTCAAGTTCAAAGAACAAAGGAAGAGTGAAGCATGAAATACCAACCTTGTATTCAGAAACCTCCAGCAGATCATGATTATCCTCGTTGGCATGACAGTTAGCAGTGACAGGAATGAATCAAAGCAGACAAAAAAGCCAACATTAATAAGCTGCAAAAGCAATAGTTTTGTCATCTATTCAGCAAAACCAGCTTGATAGTTTATGAGATAAAGAGTATATCCGAGAAGAACTACGAAGAACAGGTAGTGGACCTCCTAGTTTGTAGTTCGTTCCGAACAATATTGGGAAGTAAAAAGTAAAAAAAAAAAAAAAAAAAAAAAAAAAGAGACCCCCCCTATTAGCACTATCACAGTCCAGGGCAGATAAATAACAGAGGAACAAAAGATGCAAGTCAAGAAGTGACATAAATAACAGAGGAACAAAAAATGCAAGTCAAGAAGTGACACCAGGAAACTGAGGGCAATGAAAGAATAATGTATTCAAAATATAATTTGAGAATGCTTCATAGTGCAGTGTCTTAATAAAGTATTATACCAGCTCACATCGCCATGGTAAGCGAAATATGGTATCATAAACTCTTTGCCGCTCTTTCTCATCCCCGCGGGCAACTGTACTCCTTAAGGAATTACCCGCATACATCTCTTCCATGAAGCACTTCATTGGTGACTTATCCACCGGAAATGTTTCTAACAAAATACCACACAACAAAAGTAAGAGAAAGGAAAGGATACATGTGAAGTTTTCTTCTGCAACTAAAATAAATTAGAAAGTAAATTTGAATTTAGAGATACAGGGTAACCCTCAGGGGTTGGCCTGGTGGCAATTGACTTGAGCCTTGGGGTTTGCTCCCTTTCAAGGTCTCAAGTTCGAAACCCACTGGGTGCAAACAATTTCTGAGGGCCATCGGACTGGATAAAGCCTGAATTAACCGTGGTGCACTTGCGGGAAACTCCTTGCCGAGGGCCTGTGCACCCCCGGGATTAGTCGGGGCTCAAAGAGACTCGGACACCCGGTGCAAAATCAAAAAATTTAGAGATACAGGGTTCCAAACCTGCCTCTAAAATCAGGGGCGGATGTAGTGCATACTCGACGAGTTCACCCATAACTTTCGACGCGGAGTAAAAATTTATATGTAAAAATTCATTAAAATTGCCTTTAAAATATAATAGGTTCAATGCTAAAAAATTTAAAAGTTGAACCCATAAAATTTAAATCTTGGATTCGCCTCAGTCTAAAATAGGTTGAAAGCTAGGGACATTACTATATGAATGAGACTTCATCCTTATTACATTACAAGCGATACCTCAAATTCCTAAAATGCTCCTCTAGTCCCGAGTTTGGTAAATAAAGCCGTAGAAAATTATTTTCTTCCGGCCTTGAGTGATGGGGGGAGTCACTCTTGCATTCTCTCTCTTGGTTAGGTCAGTCTCGCTCTCTCTTTCCGTAAGTACTATATCTGTTATGGTATAGTTGTCGCACCATTCCAGTAGTGTTTGTTAATTTGTACTCCCTCCGTTCCAGTTTATGTGAACCTATTTCCTTTTTGGTCTGTACCAAAAAGAATACCCCTTTCTAAATTTGGAAACAATTTTGCTTAAACTTACAATTCTACCCTTAATGAGAAGCTTTTATAACCACACAAATACTCTGGGCCCATTTTTGAATTGTTTAGGACTACAAATTCCAAAAGTCTTCATTTTTTCTTAAACTCCGTGTCCAGTCAAACAGGTAAATAAAGACCTTAGTCAAAAGCAAGGGATCCGGGGCCCGAACGCGAGCAGAGGCAGCATGGCAGGAATTCTCAAAAAAGAAAGAAACGAAAACAGGCAGGGAGGTAAGAGGAGTTCACATATTTGTTACTCCACCCCAACCCCTCCTCCCTCCCCCAAGTGAATTTATTTGTCTTATATTTAGCTAACTTCATGTTTAAAGTGAAATGACATAGTTTCTCAACATGAGAAAAGATATGATGATTAAGGATGCCTCATACAAGCTTCTCTCTAGAACTAGAATTTCTCTATTCAAGTACTAATCACCAATCTTTTCTCTACGCGTTCCTCAGGTTGCCATAATATGTTCCTATTGGAGTCAGAGCACAGTTAGGAAACATTGTGATATTGGAAAATTGGCAGGAAATGAAAAACATTTAGAAAACCATTAAAGAAAAACAAAAAAGGTACATGCTTACGATTGGGATCTTCAGCCATCAACTTCTTCCAATCTAAAGACGCTTCCTTCTCCAAACTCCTCCCTGCAACCCCATTCATATTCACATTCACTTCGACTCTCGAATTTGACCTTGATTCCAATTCCTTAACAACACTCTCACTTTCTCTCACACTAATCTGTGGTGATCCGACACTCTCTTCGGTCACTCCATTGACCATAACATTTCTTTGCCTCAACTCCCCAAACGGAAGTCCAGAAACTGAACTCACTGAACAATTACTCTCAGGCTTCGGCAGCGTAACAGGTTCCTCACATACCACAACACTGCTGCTCTGAGCAACACTGTAACAGTAACCGTTAAAATCCCCGACGGAGGATGAGCGGCCTAGCTGCTCGTCCGTGACGGAATATTCGGAAATTGTGGAGTGCTCAGCGATTCTCTTGTGCTTCTTCTTTTTCTTCTTCCTCTTGCGGTTTCCGGTAGGGCTTGTGGCGTCATCGTTAGGCAGAAGCTGAGGAGGAGGATCGGAATTGGATCGAAGGAGAGTCGCGGTGGAGGAATCGTAATCGTAATCGCGATCGTCGTCTAGGATGGAAGTTGAGAGAATGTCAAATGAGACCTTGCGTCCAGTTGATCTCAACGCCATTGATGAAGTTAGAAGCTATGGCGATGGTGGCGGTTCATGAAGGTTGCTGATCGGCGACTAAGACATGAAAAGGGAATCGGCGGAGAGGGGAGGAGGGTGGCGGTGGTGAAGATTTGAGAATTTTTTGGGTTGGGCTTTTGACGACTTGCCTTCTTTCTCGGGAAATTTTGTCCCCGAATTTGTAAGTGAAATGTAAATTTGGACTAAAATAGCCTTCAAACCAGAACACTTAAAACACCTGTAAACAGCTCGTATTGAAATGCTTCCGCCGATAAACCTTTGTATTCTCTGTACTCGGATGATGTACAATGTGATAAGGAGACTGATTATGATTCTATATCAGGAATTCAGGATATACTCTATATATATCGAAAGATTCAGTTGGGTCTTTAATGGATTCAGAATTTGAGCAATCTGTACGACCCGATTCCGATGAGGATGATTGAGCTAATTTTTGTAAATTTATGATTGCTGATTACCCCATTTTTGACATGGGAAAAACTTGGGAAGCTTTTAACTAATACTACTTGATACATTGGGATGGTGCAGGTGGATCTATATAGAAGAAAACTTTGTTGCGTATAACTTTGCTGAATTTGAATAATAGCCTCTTTGGCTAAGCTTTTCGTATACGGTGGAAATAGGGCTCGACAATTGCATGACACATCGAGCTCGGAAAGCGAGGGGTTGAAGATCGATCATGAATCTCATCGAACCGGAACACGAGGTCAGAATATCCGTCCTCGAGAACATTGAGCTCATGATACCAAAATCGACACTAACCTCAAATAAGCTTGAGGAAGCATTGCCGGTATAACCAACAGAAGACTGAAATAATGAAAGGCCGAAATATCCATAACCGATCGAATATTTCGGCAGGAATCTCGTCACGTATCAATAAAGAACCAGCAAATCAGCAAACTAGGAGATTTTTACCTTTTATATAATTATACTTAAAGTGGGACTCCCCTACTATATAAAGTGGGTTTGATTACTTGTAAAGCACATTGTAACACGCATCCCAAAGTAATATATTATTATTCTCTTCAAGTTCTTATTATTCTCTTGTTGTTCTGTTCTGATATCAATTAAAGTATTTTTTTACTCGATGGTGGCTAACCTTCCAAGGCTAAGATTGTTCTACTTAAGTGGTTTGCATTCGCTTTTCCATTACTTATTTTAATTGCATTCTGATTTGTCGTTTGTATCAAATTAAATCGCATATCCTTAAAATCACTTATAAATTCAATTGTTATCCGATTTTGAGGGTAAACAGTTTGGCGCCCACCGTGGGGCTAAGGATAATAGTGGTTATTTGATACAAATCTCCATAACACACACTACTTTACACTTGCTCTTTAAAGTGTTTCTGATTTCAAGATAAAACACAAGATGTCAAACTCTCAATCAGCACCCCTACATATTGACAACGAGTCCGGTCACCACGGTAAAAATAACAACATAGCGCCTGGTGAAGGAGTACCGCCCGTTGATCCCATCGGAATTCCGATCACAAATCCGATTGACACTAATTCACATGTGGCTATCGATGCTAACTTGCCTACCGACCTCAAAAATAGCATATGTGGTGGAGCCCGATCGGCAACTTGAAACACACAAAACATTGAAGGAGACAGGATCAGTCTACGGGTGATCTTCGAAATGTTGTAGGCTCAACAAGCGGCGATAGCTCAGTTACAAAAACCAAAGTCGTGCATCGAGCAGGGTTGAGCCCGATCCACACCGGGAACATGCAGGGATGAACCGGTCATAGAAAGGTTAAATGAACATGAATCGGGTGCTAACCCCGAGATCATAAAGATGCTCGAGGAGTTGACAAAACGGATAGAATCCCGGGAGAAGAAAATCAAAGTTAATGACAAAAAGGTGGAAACCTACAATTCCAGGGTAGACCAAATCCCAGGAGCGCCGCCAATATTAAAAGGCCTGGATTCCAAAAAGTTCGTACAAAAACCTTTTCCTTCGAGCGCGGCTCCGAAGCCGATCTCTAAGAAATTCTGCATGCCCGAGATTGTTAAGTATAACGGAACGACCGACCCAAATGAGCATGTAACCTCTTACACATGTGCCATCAAAGGGAACAACTTGGAGTATGATGAGATCGAGTATGTCCTATTGAAGAAGTTTGGAGAAACCCTATCAAAAGGGGCTATGATATGGTATCATAACTTTCCTCCTAACTCTATCGATTCATTTGCTATGCTTGTTGATTCTTTCGTGAAAGCACACGTCGGGGCCATCAAGGTCGAGACCAGAAAATCGGACCTTTTCAAAGTAAAACAGAAGGATAACGAGATGCTTAGGGAGTTCGTGTCCCGTTTTCAAATGGAACAAATGGATCTGCCATCGGTCGCTGATGATTGGGTTGTTCAGGCTTTCACTCAAGGGCTCGATGTTCAAAGTTCGGTGGTTTCGCAGCAGTTGAAACAAAACATGATAGAATATTCGACTGTTACTTGGGCTGACGTACATAACCGGTATCAATCGAAGATCAGAGTAGAAGATGATCAACTCGGAGCCCCTTCGGGGTCTGTTTATCCCTTCAGAACCCTCGACAGAGCCAAGAGAGACATCGATCATGAACCAATACCAAACAGGGATCGGTATCAGCCATATAATGGAGACCGAAAAAGCAGTGGGTCTGGGCAGAACTCTACAAGAAACGAAAGGAGAAGCGACCGAGGTTAGGGAAACCGGGGACTCATGAGCAAAACAGCTTCGACAGGTCCATCGGGCCTTAAGAAGCACCGAGACTATCGGAATACAACTTTAATGTCGATGATGTCGTCATTGTATTAGTTATCGGGCGCATCAAAGATACCAAATGGCCTCGACCTCTGCAATACGATCCAACCCAAAGGGATCCTAACCAGATGTGCAAATATCATGGCACTCACGGTCACAGAACAGAAGATTATCGACAGTTGAGAGGGGAAGTAGCCCGACTATTCAATGACAGGTATCTTCGAGAATTCTTGAGCGACTGAGCCAAGAATCATTTCAGGGATAGGGATTCTAACAAACAGACAGAACAAGAATAAACTCAACACGTCATTAACATGATCATCGGTGGGTCGATATCCCTCAGGGGCCGATGTTGAAACGCACCAAAGTATCCATCACTAGGGAGAAACGAACTCGAGTCTACATACCGGAGGGAACCTTATCTTTCAGCGACGAGGACGCAGAAGGGATTGTACAACCCCACAATGATGCACTGGTAATATCTATACTCATAAATAATTTTTTTGCATTATAGTACAGATAGAGAGTTATGCTTGTTATGCTTATTTGATAATTCTTGTATGTCTTTTTCTGTGCATATTTAGCCATATTCATGCTGTAATTACTGAATTTTAGCCTACAAGGTGAGTGTGATCAGGTGGCGTTAAATGTGACTCGTTAATTCGGGTAAGTAACTATGAGGTCTTCATGTCTCGTGTCTCATTGTTAGTAAGGTAAAGTTTTGAAACGAGATTTTAGTCAATATGAGGTTAATTGGCGATGTTGTAAATTATGAACAGCTATTATGATCAGAGATATGGTTATGGGCATACGTATGATGTGTGGGAGTATAGGCACGAGTTGCTACAACCGTTTAAGACTAATACCGTGTGTTGATATGAAAATCGGACCTTTTGAAAATGTTTGGAGTGCAAAAAAAAATGATTTTAAAGTTTATAAGTGTGGATTAAAGGAATAGTCTTCAACTGAGATGGTGTTGTCAGACTTATGTCGATTGCGGTGATGTAGTATCACCCACGAATATATGTATAGTAAATACACTCAGTAAATTGAAGTCCTCAGAATAATTCTTGGCACGTTCGAGGACGAACGTATGTTTAAGAGGGGGAGAATGTAACAACCCGACTTGTCGTTTTAAGAATTACCACCTCGTTCAGCGACTTAAGGTCCCGAGCAACTTCGTAATATGTATTATGACTTACGTGTGCGGTCGAGTTTAGTTTTTGGAAGGTTCGGAATTTAATTGGAAGAACAATCCTTATTTTGAAGCTTAAATGAAAAAAGTTGATCGGAGTTTGACTTTTGAGCAAACGACTCCGGAATAGGATTTTGATGATGTCAATAGCTTCGTATGGTGATTTCGGACTTAGGCGTATGTCCGGATTTGGATTTGGAAGTTCGTAGGACAATTTGACGCATTTTGGCGAAAGTTAAAAAATGAAAGATTTTTAGAAAGTTTGACCGGGATTTGACTTTATTGATATCAGGGTCGAAATTTGATTCGGAAAATTTATACAGCTCCATTATATTATTTAGGACTCGTGTGCAAAATTTCAAGTCATTCCGGATTGATTTGATACGTTTCGGCGTAAATTGTATGTAACGACCCGACCGATCGATTTGAGCATTTACGTTCCTTTCAACTATTTGAAATCTTGAATAACTTCCTATGAGGTATTATGACTTGTGTAAATTATTGTTTTTGATTTTAAGGTATTTCGTAGTTAGCTTGGAAGAATGAATTTTCATGTTGGAAGCTTAAGTTGAAATAGTTGACCGGATATTTACTTATGTGTAAACGACCTCGGAATTTAATTATGATAATTACAATAGCTCCGTATGATGATTTTGGACTTAGGAGCATGTCCGAAAAATTATTTGGAGGTCCGTAGTGGAATTAGACTTGAAATGCCGAAAGTTGAATTTTGGAAAGTTTGACCCGGGGGTTGAATTTTTGATATTGGGGTCGAAATACGATTCTGAAAATTTGAGTACCTCCGTTATGTCATTTATGATTTATGCGCAAAATTTGAGGTAAATTGGACGTGATTTGATAGGTTCTAGAGTCGTTTGTAGAAATTAGAAATTTCAAAGTTCATTATGCTTGAATTGGGGTGTAATTCATGATTTTAGCGATGTTTGAGATGATTTGAGGGTTCGACTAAGTCTGTATGATGTTTTAGGACTTGTTGGTATATTTGGTTGAGGTCCCGAGGGGCTCGGGTGAGTTTTGGATGGTTAACGAATCAAAATTTTGGACTTGAACAACTGTTGGAATTTTCTCATATCTGATGATGTTTTCCTTCTACGCAATCGCGTGAATGCGTCTGCGATCGCGTAGGCTTAGTTGGTCAGTGGAGGGTTTTTGTTCTATGCGATCGCGTGGGGATATCTGCGATCGCGTAAGGTTAATGTGAGGCAGTCGCATTTTGTGCTTCGCGATCGCATGAAGCGGGACGCGATCACGTAGCTCTGGGATTTTGTGACTCGTGAACGCGTGAAGAAGGTCGCGTTCGCGTAGAGTAAGTGGAGCGAAAATAGAAGTCACGCGTTTTGTGCTTCGCGATCACGTGGACGAGTCCGCGATCGCGTAGGTATGTAATGTTATGCTTCGCAATCGCGTGGGAAAGTCCGCGATCGCGTAGATTAAAATCTGGGCGATGGTAAATTGTTCTTCGCGATCGCGTGGGAATGTTCGCGATCGCGTAGAGCAAATGTCTGGGCAGAGAGTTTAAGTTCTGAAAAATGGACTTTGTCCCATTTTTAGTTTTTGACGGATTT